ATCAGCTTTCCTGCTCCTCTGATGCTGCTTGGCCTGCTGTTTATCCAGCTCATCATCTTGTTATCTCAGGTTCTCCAGCATCGGCAGTTCCTACTATCACAGACAAAGAGACAGACAGAGACAGTGTTCGTTTGATGGTTTTTTTTTTTCCTTAAGGCGGGGGGAGGGTTTTGCCAAGTTGGATAGAGTACATGTAGATTGGGAGGCAGGAAGTTAGAATTTGGTGTTTGTAAAATGCTGGGGGGAAAGCATTGCATGGTCCCTTTAAAAGTTTATGTGCTTTTTCTGTGCTTAGAGATTTAAAATGGATGGCCGTGAGCAGTAGCTTGAAAGTTTGCAAGTACACAGAGAGCACCTGAATTGAAACATTGTATTGAAAGGCCATACAGTTAGCAGGCCAAGCAGAAGTTTTGTACAAAGACAAGAAGCTTTTGAATTTCGCCAATGAATTTGAACCAGGCACTTAGATACTAAAAACATATTAAAATTTAAATCTGATGGTTTTGACAACATAGGACCAATCCTATTGTAAGAAATATTGATGTGTAATCAGGGGTGTAAAAAGAAGGGGGCAGTTGGACAAAGCCCCAGAACTAGCTGCTATCCACCAAACCGAACAGCTCTCAGCTTTTAAGAGGGTATCGCTGGCTCTCACAGCCTTCTTTATGTCTTAGAGAAAGCATCATCTAAATACCAATGGTACCAATGGTACCAATGGTGCAACTAGTTAATATTCCTGACAGAGAGAAAAAAATAAGTCAACAGAGAAGTTATTCACGACAGAAGAATCGACAGAGAAGGCACAAAACTTTCCGGAAGACACGTAATCTGGCTGTAATTTCAAGTGACTAAATTCTATTTTTCTTATATAGGTGGTACTTGTATTTATTGGAACAGCATACTATTAGAATCTTGCTTTATTCGGTAATAGTTAGGAGTTAGAAGGGATTTATTAGGTTTGTTAACAGTTTAGTTAATTTGTTCACTGTTTGAGTTTGATTAGAAGTCAACAAATAACAATTTAAGTGAGTGTCAGGGATTTACTTTACTTAACCACTAGAAGTTGCTGAAGGCAGGTTATACCATTTTTCACACTCCTTTCACAGATTATAGGGCAAGATCCTTTTTCTTTAGGTGTTCCAATGTTAGGTCTCGAGGTGGCAGGGAGAACTGAGGGGGGGGGGGTCAATCTCCACTTTATAACATACTTCAACCCCATTAAAATAATGGCTAAAATTCCATCAGCATTCCTCATTACCTGCTGCACATGTGCTGGCTTTCTGTGTTTCATGCAGTAAGAAGCCCCAAGTGCCTTCATGTTGCAGCTTTCTGCAGTTTTTCTCTTTTTAAATAACACTGTTCTTTTGTTCTCCCTTCTAAAATGAACTTCACATTTTCTCACATTATACTCCATTTGCCTATTTACTTAACCTATAATTATCTCTTTGTAAACTGGTTGCATCCCTCTCACAACCCGCCAACATATGTGCACATCAGATACTCATTTTTACCATATTTTTCCATTTATAGTACACATGCCAGAGGAAAGATTACACTGCTGGATTCATTTCATTCATTTTAGAACTTATCACTAGCAAACATCATAAAACTGTTCATACTTATTTTTAAAAATTCCTCTCAATGGTTATCTATTTTGATTAATTTTATCAACTATACATATCATGTAGGTCCAATAAGAGACAAGGTTCACATATCCTCAAGTCTTGTTCCTGTTATATACAAAAATCTAGAAGTTGCATTGAAAACTATTTGTTTTAAAATTGTTTCCGATCAGTTCATTAACCTTCAAATCACTAGAACATTCAAACTAAATTTTGGACACTCCAATTGTATTTAGTGCTGTTGCATAAGCAAATTTAACTCACATTCATGAACACCTGCCTAAAGATCAAATGAAAGCGTCAGTAAAATTCCCTCCAGACATTAAGTGCATCACTTTTCTAACAAGGTGAAATTACAACAGCAAACGAGCTAAGGGAAAAAAAACACAAACCTGAAAAAAGTTAGTGAAATCTTGTGGTCAGTAAGAAAATGAAGATGCCACAATCTAACTAGCCCAAAATTCCTCTCCCCAACTCTTGCTGACCTCATGTTTTCTGATTCCCTCTCCCAAACTTTTCCTGTTCCTCCATTCACTCTCTCACAGCAAGGACTCAGGAGAGGTAAATGGGAAACATTTAGATTTAGACAAAAGTCATGGTGGCAGTTCGTTTTTTAAAAAAACAATCAATATATGCAGTAACTGCACTGAAATAAAAATGTTCTCATAGAACACTATAAATAGGGGATAGTTGTATTAAATCATGTGCATGTTATCTGCATTGATACAGCTTCAACATCAGCATGTTAGCCAAAAAAACTTACTGTCTGATTTAACACGGCAACACAAGCTCAGCTTTGCACATTTCAGTAATTGAATAGAAAAGGCACAAACTGCACATTTTTCAACTTTTAAGCCTTTAGAGTAATGCAATTTACTGTTTTTCTATTGTATTAGAATTTACTGTTGTGAAAATTATGTTTTACAAAAATCATCTATTCAGTCTTCATTTGATTTTAAAATTTTGTTTTATCTTTTATTGCTCAAAGGTGAGGACTCTTGCTATGGTGAAGTACACAGATTCCACCGATCATCCATTACCCAATGTTTATCTGTGACCCTGGTCAAATTACTTTTCACCCAACATGAACACACTCTGGAACAGGAATGCTGGTAGATTCTTGTTACATTTTTCAACCCTCAAGGCACTAATCCACTAATTACTGACATCAGTTACAGCTCACCTCATAACATGTTAAAGGCTGAGATTCTACTGAATTTTTGAACAAGAGTGAATCAAAAATTTATTTCTATTATATAGAACTTTAAATACTGGCTATTTTAAGATTAATTAGCTATCTTAAATGGCCAATCTATTTTAAACATTTGTAGAAAGATCCCTTGAAATAAATCCCAATGCTAAGTCTGTAACTAAAGTTATGCACATGGAGGATAAAATTGTAAAGCACAATTGTATTTACATTAGAAGAAACAAAATAAAACAAAGCAGGAACCATTTAACAGGCTACTCAAAAATCTGAGGTGAAGAAGAATATAATATGCAATGGCATGATTATCTATTCTTTTCTTAGAATGTTGTTCATATTTGTTTCCCTCATACCTGTTACATTAAATCTTAAACATTGACATAAGCAGCGTCCACATTCCCTCAAGGTCAATCAAGAAGCAAATGGAGGTCATACATTCCTTAGACATCAAACATTGACATGACATTAATTCAGCTTTCCAACACCACCATGATATGCAACACTTATATTCTCTACCCAAACAGCAATATAACCTGTTTTGCTTGGTTTTGACTTATTTTCAATACAAATGTTAAACTAAAAATAAGTATACTTGTGTCAAAAACTCAACTGATCTGTTGAAATGTAATAGGTTTGCGTTATAAAGAAAGGCAGGATAGAATGGGAATTTTTTCACTGGAGCATAGGAGGTTGAGAAGCAACCTGATACAGTTAATAGCAGTTGCCTTTTCCCTAGGATGGGGGATTTCAAGACGAGGGAACACATTTTTAAGTGTGAGAGGAGAGAGATTTAAAAAAGACGCAAGAGGCAAATCTTTTACAAAGAGGGTGGTTCGCGCATAGAGTGAACTTCTTGAGGAAGTGGTGGATGCAGGTACAATTACAACATTTAAAAGACATTTGGATAGATACATAAATAGGAAAGGTTTGGAGGGATATGGGCCAAGAGCAGGCAGGTGGGACTAGGTTAGTTTAGGATTATGTTCGGCATAGATTGGTTGAACCAAAGAGTCTGCTTCCATGCTGTATGACTCTATGACTCCATGAATAGATAAAAGACAATACTAGCCATAGTTACTGAATTTTATTTTACGAATTACTCTGAAATTCTCTTTGTTTACTAACTAATTTCAAAGGTTTATGGACAATTTGTAGATAAAACTAAAATGCACACTAAAATTGCCCACACCACATTAGAAATTGCATAATACACTGGCTCACTCAACTCTCTATAAAATGTTCTGATACTTTCGAAGAAAAAAGACAGGAAGTAGAAGTGTTTTTATTTTAAAAACACTATCTTTTAAACCTGTAAAATGGTTATACAAAAAAAAACAAAAAGGTGAGTATGATCAATGTGAAAGCATTTTAAAACAGCGAACCAAAATTTCTAACTCTTGCTGTGAATTCTAATTTTGAAAACTAATAAAGTTGACTAAACAACTCTCCACACTTTCTGCAGGCAACTACTGGGCCAAAATCTGTACCGATACAACTATAGCTGAGAGTCAGTCATAAAAGCCATGCACAAAAACAGCAATGTTTCAGCTACAAATCAACCAACAAGAGCATGACACTAAATAGCCACTGAGATCGTATGGCATTGCCTTCAGATATTTTGATTACATCTAAATAAAAAAAAAGAATTCCTCTTGTAGTAGCCATCATTCAAAAGTCAGAAAAGATCTTCATAACAATAATGGCCTATCTGGAACACACCTGCAACAGCAATATTTGAAAGAAGAGAATGATGCCCCAACTCTTAACAAGAAAATAGAAAGTAACTGTTTCAATCTAATTTCTGCAATGTAGATCACTCCTTACCAGTGTACGAATCAAAGCCACTGCAACCCTACTAGACAGACATTGTTGATTTAGTGACAGAGAAGCATTTAATTTCTGTTTATTTAGTAAACACGTACAAAACTTGAAAGTTCTGAATGCTGAGGTAATGTTGAGTGCAAATGTATAATTGAAAAACATATTGTCCATTGACAGTTAACATTAAACACTGTTTATTACTCTTATTCCAATTATAATAATGCATGGTCAACATCAATTTAGATATATTTTTAAAATCTTAAAATGTGACATAAATACCCTAAATGTGATTATTGTTTACACCCAATTCCACTGTTCTTTCTTCCATGCTAGGTTTTGTTTACACCCACCTTCCTGGCCATTAGTTGTGATTAGCTTACTCCAATCCTGTTCCATGATTTGCCATTAAAACATAAGAAACACCCAAACTACTTGTCTTTCAACTTTTCCACTCCATTCAACTGAATAGCAGCCCTCCATTTGTGCAATCCTTGCAATTACATGCACAGTAGTGACTGGGAACTCTGTATAAAAGAAACACAATGCACATTTCACACCTAATGCAGCCATTTAGGCTTTTTGAACTTCTCCTTTTTACAAAACACAACACAACACAGTCTCTCTTACCCATTCTGCCTCAGAAAGACTACAGATCATGGTAAAGAGATGGTAGGAACTGCAGATGCTGGAGAATCTGAGATAACAAGCTGTAGAGCTGGATGAACACAGCAGGCCAAGCAGAGGCTTGGGGACCGCTTTGCGGAACACCTACACTCGGTTCGCACTAAACAACTGCATCTCCTAATCGCGAACCATTTCAACTCCCCCTCCCATTCCTCAGACGACATGTCCATCCTGTGCCTCCTGCAGTGCCACAACGATGCCACCCGAAGTTTGCAGGAACAGCACCTCATATTCCGCTTGGGAACCCTACAGCCCCATGGCATCAACGTGGACTTCATAAGCTTCAAAATCTCCCCTCCCCCTACCGCATCCCAAAACCAGCCAAGCTTGTCCCCACCTCCCTAACCTGTCCTTCCTCCCACCTATCCCCTCCTCCCACCTCAAGCCCCACCCCCATCTCCTACCTACCAGCCTCATCCCGCCCCCTTGACCTGTCAGTCCTCCCTGGACCGACCTATCCCCTCCCTAACTCCCCACCTACACTCACCTTTACTGGCTCCATTCCCGCCTCTTTGTCCTGTCTGTCTTCTCTCCACCTATCTTCTCCTCTATCCACCTCCCCCTCTCTCCCTATTTATTTCAGAAACCCCTTCCCCTTCCCCATTTCTGAAGAAGAGTCTAGGCCTGAAACGTCAGCTTTCCTGTTCCTCTGATGCTGCTTGGCCTGCTGTGTTCACCCAGCTCTACACCTTGTTATCTCAGATCATGGTAAGTTACAGTTTCCTCATGTTCTCTCACCTCAGTAGCAGTCTACTTGACCACTGGAATCAAAACAGCTCAGATCCATCAAAAATCAGTATAAACAGTTCCCACATAGCAATGAGGACAGGAACTTAAACTGAATTTCACTGAGAAGGAATATTGTCCACTATTAAGTCATAAATAAAAGGTATGTATTTAAGCTAAATTACTCAAGAGCCAGGAGGGAGAATGTGGGATTTCTTTTTTTAAAAATGCGATCTGGGTTACATGACCTGAAAGGACAATGAAAGTAAATTCAATATTTTTTTCAAATCAGAAATGGATATGGATGTCAAAAAGGGAAAAGAAACACAAGGTTGTGGAGAAGAGTTGAATGGCTCTTAGCAAGATGATCCATATCTCTCCATTATAAGGTTCTGTTACCTAAAGCAAACATATGACCATTGTTGAATCTATACCAAGTATTTCAGAAAGTGTGATTTGTGTGTTTAATAACCAAAGGATTTGTTTGTGATGTAACTTGAAGAATAAGTATTCCAGATACATGAGGGAAAAACATCCTTTCCAAAAATAAACTACAATGACTATTTTATGTACATTTGAGAATGCAGACAGGATTTTTTCAGTTTAACATCTCATCCGAAACATGGCACCTCCAACAGTCAGCCCTCACTAGTTCAGCACTGAGATTAACATTCAGACTTCTTCACAGTTCTCCACAGGTACTACCAGTACTGCTGAATTCTCCAACACTCTGCATTTGTTTCAGATTTCCATCATCCACAGCATTTTGCCTTCACTGGAACATCAGCTTTAGCTTTTGCAATGTGACTTTAACTCACAATATTGCACCTTTGGAGGTGACAGTGTTACCAACTGAGTCATAATTTCTCATGAACTTCTATAATGAGTTCAGTTATCAGCTGTTACTATTTTCTAAAACTGAAAATACTAATAAATTATTGTAAACTAGAGGACAGGACATAAATTCTCAAAAATTTTGCTGTCCGTTTTTCCTTGCAATCAAATAGCAGATAATTTACACTCACCAGGGTCTTAAAAGGAAACCCTTCATCCTTTTCATCTCACTTCACAGGTCTACATCTCTCTCATCACAGACAATTAATTACATACCACCATTTCTCCCAGCAGCAATTGATCATTGAGGGAAAGAGAATACATGTACACAACAACTTGTATTTCCATTGTACATTTAACACAGTAAAAATTTCCAAATTTTCCAAATCAATTATCAAAATCTGAAAGAGCCATAGGAGATAGGAAGACCACTGACCAAAAAGTATGGTCAAAGGTAGGCTTTAAAAGAAGAACCTTACAGAGGAAGAGTATGCAGAGGAGAACGTGGTAACAATATCACAAGGTCATTAATTCAAGACACGCTTCAGGGACATGCACAAATATTCCAGAACCTGTTATTAAACTCCCAGATGACCCCCTTAACCACGGTTCATCTATTTGCTGAGGTAGCGGGAATACTATGATAGTTCTTGAAGATGTGCCTCAGGTCCTCGCCTGATGCCCATTTTAAAACTTCAACTAAGATCAACACAAATGTCTTTTATCACACGTGGGACTTCGTAATGCAGAAATTAGCTGCTGCATTTCACTGCATTACAGCAGTGATGTTAACTCTAAAAACATACCGGCTGCAAAACGCTTTGAACCTTCTTGGTTAAGAAAAATAATATATAAATGCAATGCTTTTCTTGACAATGATAATAACCAACAGTCTAAGGTGACTCTCGACAACACGCAAACAGGTCACTTGTGAATACGTGAATCGCCAATCTTTGTGACCGATTAAAAAGAAAACGAGGCGCCACAAGAAATCCCAAATTGTGATCCGTCTTTTTTGGTCGCAGGCGAACGATCTGCCCAATTGTGACTGCTACAGATAGCAAAAAATTGCTGAAGCATTTCAAAGACAACATTCCACACCACGACCGACCACCCCCACCCCCCGTCTCCTTTGTTATATGAACTTGCCGTCATAATTTGTTCTTTGAGCTCTCGGACATTTAGATTAGACGTTCTACACATAAAGCACAAAAAATACAATGGGATAACTGCAGGTCTGGAAGCGGCGGTTATACCCTGGTCTGGAAGCTGCTCTGTTGGAGGTACAGAGGTAACACAACATGTCCACCTGCTGTCAACCCGTGGGGCTCGTACCCCGATCACATCCATGCCAAACCTCCGTCCCGCCGCCATCACCATCGTCCGTCTTACCTGTTCGGACTCCCTTCTCGTTTCAATCCTCCGGGAGGCACGGCCTAAAAGGAGGGTAGCCAGGCTTTGAAAACAGGAAGCTTCTCGAGCCGATAGCCGTTATCTTCACACACCAACCCCTCTCGCTCTGACGCAATGAAGCTGCTCGATCCTACTACTGCGTTTCTTTGATCCTGTCCGACCCCCTTACCTCACAGCCGTTTACTCTGCCCCGATCCTCACCGCCATCAGCTGCCGCACCTGAGACCAACTGTCACCGAGTCAAACGCAGCCCGCTACGCCTTTTACTACGCGCGCCTCACACGAACATCGAGGCGCCGCGTCAGGCCCCTCCTCCTCTCGGAGTTTGTGCCACAGCCATTAGTCATGGCCCACCAGCAAGCCCCGTCTACTCACCAATAGCCTCCTCCTCTATTGGGCTCTACCAGCTTCAGTTATGTGATCTCACACAGGGATAGGCGGGCCGAGGCGCATCAAGTTTGGTTGCCTCCGGTTTACGGCTCGGGTGCGGGACGCTTGAGAACCATCAGCCAATCGGCGGCAGCTGGCAGCGCCACCAGTTTCGTTTTTGTGTCGTTCATAAAATGTTAAAACAGGCTCCTAGTTATATATTGCCCTCACGATATTTTTTTCGTTGCGTAAGTACATGAAAGGATTGACACAAAATTTTATGCTTTCTCCCACTCGAAGACTCTGGAGTTGCTATGTAACGAGCCCAGAAAGTATTTGTATCCATCATCATGGATGAATGAACAACTTCCCCGCCCCCGGCCAAGTCTACACCAAACCTGAAATACCCTGTTCTCTCCAACAGAACACTGTTAGCGCAGAAAAAAACTGGCACGTTTCCAAGTTTCCATTTTCCTAACAAAAACAAGGGAAAGACATAATTCTGATCACATTCACAAGGATCTTAGTCCTTTCGTTTGTGTCGGCTATGGCTGAGTTGTCATAATCTCACTTCAGTCCACAGATTGAAGCACGTACATCTGGGTTAAGACTTCAGTTCATTGTTCAGCCGGTGCTCTTACCCATGTTGCTGTCTTTTGGATCAGGTATTAAAATGCACTCTCAGGTAAAAGACCCAACAACATTGCTGCAAAGGAAGCAGCGGTATTATCCCCGTCATCCTGGCCAACATCTATCTCCCAATTAACATTGTTGAGAAGATTATCCAGTCGTCATTCTCTCCATTTTTTTTTCCTTTCTCTGTGGAATGTTTCTACTTTGTGTATTCTAAAATATGAGATCATTATGAGATTTATAATTATTCTAGCATATTGTACATTATCAGCAGTAGGTGTTAGAGAATATTGTTAAAGATTTTTGATTAGGGATAACATTATGGCTGTACTTAGGGAGAGTATTCCTGGGAGTACACCTAGGGGAGCTACTTGGGTGGAACTGAGAAATAAGAAAGGGATGATCACCTTATTGGAATTTTACTATACACTCTCTAATAGTCAGTGTGAAATTGAGAAGCAAATTTGTAAGAAGCGATCAGTTATCTGTAAAAATATTACAGTGGTTATCGTCGGGGATTTTAAATTTCCAAACATAGATTGGGACTGCCATAGTGTTCAGGGCTTGGATGGAGAGGAATTTGTTAAGTGTATACAAGAAAATTTTCTCATTCAGTATGTGGATGTACATACTAGATTTGGTGCAAAACTTGACCTACTCATGGGAAATAAGACAGGGCAGATGACTTTTGGGCCAGCAATCATAATTCTATTAGTTTCAAAATAGTGATGGAAAAGGATAGACCAGATTCAA